CTACCACTGTACATACAGTATTCTCCACATAACTCATCCTATATAGCTACCGCTGTACATATAGTATTCTCCACATAGCTCATATTGTATAACTACCGCTGTACATACAGTATTCTCCCCATAGCTCATCCTATATAACTACTGCTGTACATACTGTATTCTCCACATAGCTCATCCTGTAGAACTACTGCTGTACATACAGTATTCTCCACATAGCTCATCCTGTATAACTACTGCTGTACATACAGTATTCTCCACATAGCTCATCCTATATAACTACTGCTATACATACTGTATTCTCCACATAGCTCATATTGTATAACTACCGCTGTACATACAGTATTCTCCCCATAGCTCATCCTATATAACTACTGCTGTACATACTGTATTCTCCACATAGCTCATCCTGTAGAACTACTGCTGTACATACAGTATTCTCCACATAGCTCATCCTGTATAACTACTGCTGTACATACAGTATTCTCCACATAGCTCATCCTATACAACTACTGCTGTACATACAGTATTCTCCCCATAGCTCATCCTATATAACTACTGCTGTACATACTGTATTCTCCACATAGCTCATCCTGTATAACTACCACATACAGTATTCTCCCCATAGCTCATCCTATATAACTACTGCTGTACATACTGTATTCTCCACATAGCTCATCCTGTATAACTACCACTGTACATACAGTATTCTCCACATAACTCATCCTATATAGCTACCGCTGTACATATAGTATTCTCCACATAGCTCATATTGTATAACTACCGCTGTACATACAGTATTCTCCCCATAGCTCATCCTATATAACTACTGCTGTACATACTGTATTCTCCACATAGCTCATCCTGTAGAACTACTGCTGTACATACAGTATTCTCCACATAGCTCATCCTGTATAACTACTGCTGTACATACAGTATTCTCCACATAGCTCATCCTATATAACTACTGCTATACATACTGTATTCTCCACATAACTCATCCTATATAACTACTGCTGTACATACCTTTTTTCCTACTTCTTCTGTATATTGCCCATACTGTCTACACACCACGTATTTATATTCCGGACTCTGACATTGTTCATTCTTATATTACTTGTTGTGATATTTCTTAATCTCTTGTTTCACCTTCTTTTTTTCTTCTTTTTTTCTTGTTGAGATTGTTTGTGTATTAGGAGTGTACTACTAGGGCCAGATTCAATCAGATCCGCTTTCGCCGACATCCGCATTTCTGATGCATTATACCTAAAGCGGACATTGCCATTGGCTGCACAGAGTCGCATTAAGAGAAATTCAATGCAGCCTTGTTTACAAGCTCAAACACTGGAATGTGAGATGTAATCTACACCTCAATTAGCCTGATAGAAATCTTTAATTATTTTGTTTAATATTTTTCAATTTGAGCGTCATTATTTCTATATAGCATACCCGTTATCGTTCTGAACTTCTAGCACGAGAGGGACAGGTGTGGCTTCGTGAAAATGATCACAAGAGCAGCTGCTCACCGATTTGATAGCTCCAACGCAGTTCCACCTCCGACACCGTCAAATCATCAGCTATGTGGGTGTCGGCTATCACCAGTTAATGATGGGTCTGATTGAATTTAGGCCTTAGACATTTACTGCACTGCTGGAGCTAGAAACACAAGCATTTCACTGCACCTACTTTAACATCTGGGAATCTGTGTATGCAACAGATAAACTTTATTTGCATTGTACCTGTCGGCATTAAGTAAAGTGTTAATGTACCTTTATTTTTAATACAAGGCATTGCATTCAAGCATACAAACTCCATCTTACCTGAATTTATATATATTTAAAAATGGGCAACTACTGCAGCAGGACCATGCATAGGTAAATAATGAAGACTATAGGAAAATGGGTGGTCCTCTGTAGCTCAGCTGGTAGAGCACGGCGCTTGTAACGCCAAGGTACTGGGTTCGATCCCCGGGACCACCCATACACAAAAAAAATTATGCACGCATGACTGTAAGTCGCTTTGGATAAAAGCGTCTGCTAAACGGCATATTATTATTAAAGAGCTGCGGGCCTCTGGAGGCTGTGACCAATCAAGTCTGATGGATCCATAATTCATTGGTACATGGTGCAAACAGAGTCACATGAAATCTTCATGGCCTTCCCATGTTCTTCCTCTCTCTCTCTCTCACGCTCCAATAACCTCATCATTAAGTTGTGGTTACACAGTGTGTGTGTGTGTGTGTGTGTGTGTGTGTGTGTGTGTGTGTGTGTGTGTATTCCTCCATGCGTGCAAGTAGTAGTATGTATGTCTCAAGGTCAGATAGAAGATGGAAAGTCTTGGAGTCATCTGTCTCTCTCTCACTCCCTCTCTCTCCTCTCACTGTTTCTACCTCGCTCCGTCTCTACCGCCATCCTCTCCTTCCAACCCCCCTCCTCTCTCTCCTTCCAACCCCTCTCTTTCCCTCCCTCCATCAGTCCTGCCTGTCTCCTCCTCCATCCAGCCTGGCTACAGTATGACTTGGCTCCATTGCTCCAGCCTCCCACCTTGATCCTGAAGGTCAAAGATACAGTATGATGCTACTTCCCCTGCCAGCTCCCACTGTGATGCCTCAGCTCTTGCATATGGTTCCTGTCACACACACATGCGCACACGCACACGCACACACACACACACACACATATTGCCAAATCAACAGCAGTAAGTTTCCCTGGTTGTGATTTACGTCTTCATCGAGCTACACTAAGAGGGCCGTCAAGTGTATGGTCTATAAACACAGTACTTAACACTAATGTCATCAGATACAGTAGCTGCCTAACTAATGGGATCATTTCATTATCAGGGAGAGAGCCTCTTGAGTCATTGATCTACTGGCCAGTGGCAATGCAGAAATGTTGAAGGTCAATATGTTAAAATATAATCTAACCTTGAATATTACAAATGATGACACAGTAGCTCCCAAGCTAGCACATAACCTTCTTAGAACCATACGTTTCTTAGAGCTTGGTGAGAGTTTGGTTGCCCTATGGTCCTTTTGCATACAATCTTCCCACAAAGTTCTGGGAATGGTGCAGGATACCCAGCTAGCACATAACGTTCTGAGAACCATATGTTTCTTAGGTAGGAATTTCAGTACTTCAGCATAACGTTTTCTGCAGGTTTCCTCATGGTTCTATTTAAAGTCACGTTCTCAGAACATTAAGAAGACTTTCCACAAAAACCACTAGAAAACATTAGTAACTTTCAAAGAATGTTCTAAGAATGTTATTTAATTACATATACATTCCGTTCTCAGTGTCAACAAAACTTTCTCTATCTTGTTAAGAGAGTTCAGGTGTATTGGCCGTGCCCACTAATTGGCCACACATGATCTTAATGATTACTTGTTTCCTTTGAAATGGGGTCTGTTTGAATAAAATAAAATGAACAGCTTTGTATGAGGGTTTTTTAAAACATTGCATGCTAGCTCCATCCTGGTGGTGCAGTGGACAAATTCCATGGATAGAGAACAGATGATTATAGGTTTAAATCAAACTGACACCATGCCACAATAAAAAAAGAAACGTGTTTGCATAATTAATGCTTAAGCAAATTAATGTCCATGTTTGCTATCTGTGGTTGGAGTTCAAAACAGTTAACCTAAGCTAGCAGTGTTATTAAAGTCTTATTGAAACATGTTCTCAGAACGTTATTTAATAACCTATAATTTAGATTCTCAGAACATTAATAAAACCTCCCAGGAAAACTTTCAGGGAACAATAGTAAAACATTCTCAGAACCTCTGGTTCCTTTAAAGTTTTCCTGGGAGGTTTTATAAACGCTCTGAGAACAGAAATTATAGGTTATTTGGATGTTTTTGAATAACTTCAGTGAATGTTTCAATAACACTTGTAGCTTAGGTTAACTTTTTTGAGATTTGAACCTATAAACTTCTGTTGTCTATCCATGGAATTAGTCCACTGCGCCACCAGGATGGAGCTAGCATGTAATGTTTTTTACGCATACAAAGCTGTCATTTTAGTCTATTCAAACAGACCCCATTACAAAGGAAACGCAGACTCATTAAGATCAGGCGTGGCCAATTAGTGGGCTCGGCCAACACACTTGAACACACTTAACAAGCTAGTTTTGTTGATGCTGAGAACGGAATGTATATGTTTTTAAATAACATTCTTAGAACGTTCTCTGAACATTACTAAAGTATTCTTGTGGTTTTTATGGAAAGTTTTCTTAACATTTGAGAACGGAATGTATGCTTTTAAATAACATTCTTAGAACGTTCTCTGAACGTTACTAAAGTTTTCTTTTGTTTTTTATGGAAAGTTTTCTTAAAGATCTCTGAACAATTTGAGAACATGACTTTAAATAGAACCATTAGAAAATCTGTACGAAACGTTATACTGAAGTAATGACATTTCCACAGAAGAACGTTGTTTCTTAAGGTTCTTGGAACAATTTGAGAACATTCCCAATGTCAAACCAGTTGGAGAACGTTCCTAGAACATTACCAGAATTGAAATTAAATGTAACCATGTTTGAACTTTTAGGAAACATTCTATTAACATAATGAAATACCAATAAATGTTTTTTTTGTCAAGTTGTGCTGAGAATGTTCCAAAGCCAAGCAACTATACTGCACTGTTCCCAGAAAGGTTGTATGCAAAATAACCAAAGGACAACCACGCTCTCACCAAGCTCTAAGAAACATATGGTTGTCGAACTTTATGTGCTAGCTGGGATGTGTACACGTAGCCTGTAGGCTACTAGGCTACTGCAGATGTTTTGCACAATAACTGATATCGAGCAAATAGACATCAGAATAGTTTAAACCCAAAATATTATATTACACCATGGAGAAAGTGGTGGTGGTGTCAGTATATGGCGATATCTCTATGTGTAATTATGATGACGATATATTTATTGCGTGCGCGTCATCGGGCGTGGTTGGCTGCCAGCGGCCGTAGGCAGGATCTGATGGATGCGGAGTGACAGATCAGGGTTAGCTGCCAGGGGAGTCCATTTTCCTCCACAGTCCTCCCCGAGACGCCCAGATCACCTCGGTGCTCCACGGAGCGGACAGAGAGAGCCAGCCAGAGCCGCGCCTCTCTTCTTTCTCTTCTCTCAGCTTGTAGATGTGTCACAAACACACAGCAGCACACAGCAGCAGCACCGCACAGCCTGTGAGACTCTCAGCCCGACCCAACCACAGCCAGTGCAGCCTGCTCGGCTCACAAGGGAAAGTCCGGTGATCTGCTGTTTATGGATATGAGATGCATGTGACCATGTTGTCGCTGTAAGATGAGTTTGCTAGCGGCATGTGGTTCCATTGGGACCTTGCAGGGATATCTCGTTCGGTAAGGCATGACACTTTCTACTTGACAAAATACATCTCACAGGAGGAGGTGGTGGCTGGCTTGGCACAGAACAACAGCGCTGAATTTGGATATGAGCTAAAAGTTTGCAAACCTTATAAGATGTTTGGGATCTACGTTGAGTGTTTAAGTTTAGTGTAATTTTTGTCATTATGTGTGTAGACTGAACGGGAGCTTATTCTCTTCACCGAGGATATCTCTCAGTCTGCGCTATGATCTGGACCATGCGGACTCTGATGCTGAGGACACTGTTTGTGTTGTTGGGGAATGCACATGTCTTATCTCTCAGAAATAATGGCGACATACGAACTAGAGAAACAGTGGGGGGTTATTATGGGCTTAACGCCACAGCAACACACAGGACCGCTCACACAGCAATCGGAGAGGGTCCCCAAAACACAGCTTATGACAGCACTCGCTCCGGGGGACATGCTACAGGTACGTCCTACTCCAAACAGACTCTTCAAACATGGATGGAACATATTCATTCTACTTCTGTGAGAAGGACGCGCGTAATTGCGGATGAAACAAAACATAGACATGTAGGATTAAAACAACACCACTCAAACAGAACACTGACGCTGGGGTATTCCTCCGCGACCCCGCACAGGGACCTGACGCGCCGCCACAAGAGGAGAAAGTTGAATAGTGAGATTGGCGCGGCCGCTGTCATGGGGACGGCAGGTGGATACCATACCACTAAGCCCACAGCAATGGGCCAGCAGCGCGGGGGACTACTGGACAGCGACAGACGCAAGAGAGGCACAAAAGAGGAGCAGAAGAAGGCGTTTAAGAGGGAGAGGGGGACAAAAGTGTTGAACAAAAGCTCAATGGCTTTATCTCAGGCGCAGAGCGCAGTGGACGGGCTGGGCCCCCCTCTATCTCCATGGGAACCAATACCCAAGCCCCTAGCTCTCACCTCTACCGACCTACCGCTCGACTTCTTCACCAGGAAAAACGAGATGTTTACTTACCGGGAGGAAAACCCGTGGGATGCCACTCCAATGACCCCTCCCAACACAGCAGATTTTGGAAGCGAAATCAGAAACCCATTTTACCCTGTGACAAGTGAAACATTTGGAGCTTATGCTATCACAGGCGTTTCTGCTATCATTTTCCTCGCAGGGATAGCAGGGAACATAGCCATACTGTGCATCGTGTGTCAGAACTACTATATGAAGAGCATCTCCAACTCTCTCATAGCTAACCTGGCCATCTGGGATTTTGTGGTTGTTTTCTTTTGTCTGCCCCTCGTCATTTTCCATGAATTGACTAAGTCCTGGCTACTGGGAGAATTCACGTGTAAAATCGTGCCATATCTGGAGGTATTCTATTATGTTCTATTATATTTTATTAGATTCTATGACATATTTTCTCCTCATATTGGTGGAAGATGGGGCATGGGGCATCTGAACATTTCTCTTTGCATAGGCACAATTTCAAATAGTATTGCATTGTCTATTACACATTTATAATACAGTATTGTTATATTCAGGACAAGTTGTGATAGAAAGCCTATCACAGTGAACATGACACTAATCCATTTCACCCTAACATGGGATTAGCCCTCATAGGCACAATAATAAACAAAAGACGAGTTCCCACCAAGCTCAGATGTTACCTCAGCTCATTATGACACCCAGTGTGACACTGCTACATACACCTGCTGGAGAGAAGTGGCCTTCCTCCCTCCACCCTCCCCTCATGACACCCACACACTAAATCCTTCCCTCTATCTCTCCCTCTTTTTCTCCCACTTCTGTGTGTGTGTCTCTCTCTCTCTCTCTCTCTCTCTCTCTCTCTCTGTCTGCCTCTCTCTCTCTCTCTCTCTCTCTCACGCACACAACTCTGTATCTATCTACTATGATAGCTCTGTCTTTCTCACCTACACATACAAAGGGCCTAAGTAAGTCACAAACTCCACACCCAGTTTATAGCCATCTTACTTTACCCTGGGTATCAGTGTGATGCAATGCTCAACCTGTGTGTGAGCAGTCATGCCTTTCCTTTGTAAGGCCATTGGGTTAAATCCAGTTTCATTCTCCCACAACTCCTAATCTCATTGTACAGAAGAAGGTGTCAGTAGACTGTCTGGCTAGTGTGTGTGTGTGTGTGTGTGTGTGTGTGTGTGTGTGTGTGTGTGTGTGTGGTGTGTGTGTGTGGTGTGTGTGTGTGTGTGTGTGTGGAGGTTGGAGTCTGTGCGTGTGGGTGAGTGCGTGCAGGCCCGTTTGTGAATTTTAGGCATGCATGCCCATGAGTCCATGCATGCATCAGTGCATGCATGTGTGTCGTCCGGCCTTGCGTGTGCATGTGTGTGTCTGTGCGTGTCCTCAGCCCTGTGTGTCCTCAACCCTGTGTGTCCTCAGCCCTGTGTGTCCTCAGCCCAGTGCAGTGCTGAGCTGATCCACTGTGACTGTATGTGGGTTAAGTGGGGAGTAAAGTCGCTCCGTGGGCAGGATGTGTGAGAGAACAGTCCACTGGGAGGAGAGGAAGCCTCGGGCTGTATTGCCCACTGATTCATGACACACACCCACACACAGATGTGTGTGCAGACACAATTAGACAGACTCACAGACGAAGACACGTATGCACATACATGACCACACAGACACGCACACATACACATGCATAAACCCATATTCCAATCCCCAGAGCCCAGACAGTAGATATGAGCCCAGCTACAATGGTGATGATAATGCATTAGATACAGACAGCTAGGAGAGGAGGCATGGACAGTCCCTCTGAAACTGATGGGAGGACCTCTCTGTGTTGTGTGTACTGAATGTGTGTGCGTGGCTTCTGTAGCCTGCTCGTGTGTGTGTGAGTATGTGTATGGAATCAAGTCTCCAGTGATGTGCAGAGCTCTAAGGAGAGAGGCTGAGTGGAAGAGGCCCTTATGGGTTATGAGTGCTGTTATGTGAATCGTGTCCATGGCTAATGTCTGTAGTGTAGGCTATAGCAACAGCCGCAGCCAGTAGTGAATAGTAAAGATATTGCTTCTATAAGTTCAGTGAGAACAGTGAGGCTCAGATAGGCATAGAGGGGTTCTCTCCAGCAGCTTTGTCCATTCTCAGACAGAGAGATACTGGGAGGCTGAGGTGCTGCTGTCTGCAGTGAGATAAACTCATCCCAGTCTGCTGCAGGGAATAGACATTCTACGGGGAGCCATTCAGATCAGAGGTGGAGGACTGCATTGTGCTGGGATTGGTGTTAATAGCTAGACATTCATCACCCTGACACCCATGTACGTGGGCGCACACATGCATAGGCTCAATCGCTCTCACTTATGGACACACATGCACAGAATCTCAAACACACACTAAATCTCACAACACAACCTAGACGCGCTGGTCTCTCTCTTCTCTCCGCGGAGAGAGAGAGCTCTAGAGAGGAGAGAGAGGCGAAGAAGAGCAGAGAGAGAGGGAGAGCGCTCTCTCTCTGAGCTCTCTCTCTCTCTCTCTCGTCTCTGCCTCTCGTCTTATCTCTCTCTCTCTCGCTCTCTCTCTCTCTCTTTCTCTCTCTCTCTCTCTCACACACAAATACATGCTCACCTACACATGCAGAAACTCTCTCTCACACACACACTCACACACGGTAGCAGGGCGTGCTGAGATTCCAGATGGGTGGGATGGCCTGCCCTCCACTGATCGTTACCCACGGCGATCCTCTCTCTGCACATGCTCACTGTGATTAGGGGAAGGACTCTCACACACACATACACACACACACACTCCCACATACACATATACACTTCTTCCAACACACACACACACACCACTCCACCCAACAGCAGATTGTCTGGCCCTCTATTACTCATTACTCATGCGGTCTGATGGGCACATACATGATGTTAATTGGAATATACTGTATGTTAATGATTCAGTGTATATAATTAGTGTTTGTAAATAATGGATGATGGGTGATACTTATCCCATTCAGGCTCTTTGTTAGCTAGAGGATGAGAATATGTTTAGTTTGCTGAGAGATAGACCACATAGATACATAACAACATCACAACCCAGAGAGAATCAAACTAAATTAACAAAATGACTCATTATAGAAGCAAAACTCAAATATTGACTTATTTATAATTGTGTGAATCATGCGTAGGCATGGCCAGTGTAGAATAGGATATAACTGTATTGTCCACTTGAAGCTACATCATGGAGTCTTAAGAGTAATAACTCCAGGTGCTCAGGTCCAGATTTACCCTGTCTGCCAGCCTGTCTCTGTGATGATCCAATCCCTGACTGTACAGAGAGACTGATGATCCCTGTGGCAGAGTGGCAGCCAGGGCCTAGGCTTCTTCTGTTGGAGTTATGGTCTGGGGAAGGAGGGAGAGAGGGAGGGAGAGAGGGAGGGTCAGACGCAGTCAGCCTGTAACAGTCAGCTTATTAATACGCTCAGTGTGTGTGTGCGTGTGTGTGTGTTTCTGTGTCTGTGTGTGTATATGTGTGTGTGCATTCGTGAGCATTACCCCATTTATCAATAGATAAGAGTCATTACCATGACAGACCACTCAGGATCCAACATGGCCGCCCGCCGCGGGTCCCCCAGTCACTCAGTCGCCATTCAACTCCAATTAATACATGGGTTTTGAAGGCAACTGCTCAGAGGAGCTTACTCAGGGAATTATTAAACCAGCAACAGGGGAAATATCTCTATTACCTGCTGTACAATACAAGTAACTGAGACAGAGACAATGGTGCTGTACAGACTGCCATCAGCATGGCCACAGACAAGGCAGACATGACAGGGGTCAGGTACACAGAGAAGGGATCTGCCAAATTGGCCCATTAATCATTATGAAGCTGTCAGGCTGTTGTATGAATAATTAGGCCTAGTGATAGGAATAATCTCGCACTCACACACAAACACACACTCAGCTTTCAGTTAAGCAGCGTTAGCACCACACTAGCTCCAGCACCATGGCCATTGGCCCATGCACATATCTTTGATCTACATATCTGTACAAAGCTGGGCTTGTCCTAGTCTGCCCCCTTCGCTCTCTCCTGCTCTGTGAGATCTGATCAAAGAATTCACCCGGTCTGTGTGTCAGTGTTTAGTTTGACTTGTCTTGAGCCCAGTGTTCAGGCTATGAAATATTCACCATGTTGGCACCTGTCTGAGTGTACAAAGCAGAGTAGGGCTCGAAGACAGTAACCTGGCACACAGAGGCGATGGTGCATGGTTGGCCAGGATGCAGGAAGCCCTCTCTAGCTGTATTTAAAGCAACCAATCACACTGTACGACCAGCACAGGCTGAAGGTCATCAATAGTCACCATGGAAGAGGGATCTTGTTTACAAGATATGAACCAAGTTTTTGGTTAAATCAATTTTTCACCAAATTTTTTTTTTTTTTTGCCAGTTTTACTGTTTTCAGTATTAACATGAAAAAAATTATGTTATGCTCCTTTGAAGTATACATGAGTAAATACCAGGTGCAAGGTATTAAACATGTCTTATAAAAGGATTAGAAATACCTGCACACTGTCATACACCTCTTTGAAGTCTACAGGAGCATACTGTACAATAGCATGCAGGTCTCTCTAATGGCTGACCCAGTGTTGTTCTCATTTGGCTCTACTTCATTAGAACAGGAGCAGCTTTGGCAGAGATCCATAGTTCATGTGTGGTTCTCCTCTCTATCTCTATCTCTGCAGGATGTTGCTGTTTCTAAGGCTGTAGCCTCTGTGGCCTCCCAGGGATGTCTGGGAAACACTAGTCTAATTAACAGATAGAGAGAAGAAGAGAGGAAGAGAGAGGGGAAGGAGAGAGAGCGAGAGAGAGAGAAATCTCCACAGCTTTACTGTTTATGTAGTAAACTACAGCAGCAATAATCACAGAGCAGGACCATACAGACTATAGCAGTTGGGTCTGGGTCTGGCTACAGTTAGTTTTCCCTGTAGTAACTGCAGTCAAAGTGATTCCAGCTGGAGAGGAATGTGTTCCAGGTTCCTTGCTGTGCGTTAGTCTTTCAGACTCGAACCAATGCAGAGCAGAGACTTGGTTCTGAATGATGTGTTTTCTAAGCTTTGAGAGGCTTAGAATTTGGCATCTTTTTCAGTTTAATTCATTCTTTCAATTCAAGGAATGACTGTACAATCCTCTGTCAGATTTCTAAGAATTGTGTTGTCATCTTTGTGAAAGTAAAACTAAAAAGATCTATTTGGTGTGTACTGTCAGATGACTCAACATTCTGATAAACCATTTGTCTTTGTGATAAACCATTTGATAAACCATTAACCATTTCTCCATGTATTTGTCCCCAGGTGGCATCTCTAGGTGTGACCACCTTCACCCTGTGCGCTCTGTGCATTGACCGGTTCCGTGCGGCCACCAACGTCCAGATGTACTATGAGATGATTGAGAACTGCACCTCCACTACAGCCAAGCTCGCCGTCATCTGGATCGGAGCGCTCCTGTTGGCTCTCCCTGAGCTCCTGATCCGCCAGCTGGTCACAGAGGACCCCGCCCTCCCGGATGACCCCCCAACGGAGCGCTGTGTGGTGCGCATCTCGACGTCGCTCCCGGATACGCTCTACGTCCTGGGTCTAACCTACGAGGGCGCGCGGCTCTGGTGGTGCTTCGGCTGTTACTTCTGCCTCCCTACGCTCTTCACCATCGGCTGTTCCCTCGTCACCGCCCGCAAGATCCGCCGCGCCGAGCAGGCCTCCGTCCGCGGCAACAAGAAGCAGATACGCCTAGAAAGCCAGATGAACTGTACCGTTGTGGCGCTCGCCATCGTCTACGGCGCCTGCGTGGTCCCAGAGAACATCTGTAACATCGTATCGGCATACATGGCGGCGGGCGTGCCGGAGAGGACCATGGCGGTCTTACACCTCCTGTCACAGCTGTTGTTGTTCTGCCGGGCGGCAGTGACGCCAGTGTTGCTCCTATTGTTATGTCGCCCGCTAGGCAGGGCCTTTCTGGACTGTTGTTGTTGCTGCTGCTGTAACCATACCCACTCCTCAGGCACGGCTAGTGATGATAATGAACATGAGTGTACCACAGAGCTGGAGCTGTCGCCCTTCAGCACCATACGCAGAGAGCTCAGCAACTACACTCCCGCAGGGTCCAACTGTTAAAACCACACAACTACTGTTAAAGGTCCAGTGCAGTAAAAAATTGTTTTATGTTCAGTGTATATTTCCACACTATGAGGTTGGAATAATACTTTGAATTGTGAAAATTATGATAATGCCCCTTTAGTGTAAGTTTGATAAGACCGCCTGAAATTTCAGCCTGTTTTGGTGGGAGTTTTGGCCTGCCTGGTGACATCATCAGGCAGTAAATTAGTTAATAGACCAATAAGAAAGAGAGTTACAAACTTCTCTGCCAAAAACAGCTAGTTTTCAATTTTCCCCTCCCCAGTCAGACCACTCCCAGACAATCCTAGGAAAAGTGTTACCCAGAAATGATTTGATATTGAGATAAAAACAGCTGCATTGGACCTTTAATGACTACACAACTACACACCTGCAGGACTATACAAACATGCTAGTACACAGAACTGTACAACATCACACCTGCAGAGTCAAACTGCTGTGAATGCACACCTTTACAACTACAGAAATATACAACATTTCACAAGCAGGATCAAACTGCTTGGATTACATACCTGGACACCTACAGTACAAAACTACAGGAGCCAACTACACAATTAGCTACACAACTGACAAACTGGGTGCTAGGGCCACACAACTACTGTACAGTATACGATTACACTATTACACAACTACTGTATATATAACTACACACTAGCAGGGAAAAAGTGCCAGGACTACACACTATACATCCGCAGGGAGCAAGTAACATCTAAACAGCCATACTGCCGAGACAACTGCACAACAATCCAACTGCACTACAACACAAATACATCTACTGTGCTCAAATCCAGTACACAAACCCAGTGGTCTGAACTGGGACCAGACATGAATGGACAAAGCCAGACACTCGAGACCACACTATACTGGACTGTGTTGAGCTGAAATGGACTCAGTGGAGTGGACTAGGCGTAGCTGGGCTGGACTTGGCTGGGCTGGAGTGGACTCCGAATGCTTGACTGGAGTGGACTGAGCTGGACCGGACAAACTCACGTCACACCTCACTCAAACTCTGCACTCACGTTTCAGTTCACACACACCTTACTCACACACTGGACTGTACATACTGTATAATACACACTCTATCACTCTAGTGAAGGAAATATATATAGAGAAGGAAAGAAGGAAGGATATGGAGGAGGGATATGAGGATATTACAAGCATATTGTAATTGTTTTCTTTTAATGCGCATTAATATTACTGTAATTGTCGTAGTTGATTTCTGCATACAACTCTGCACTGCCAAACACCTTTCCTCTCTTTCTCTTTTCTGTCTCTTTTCTGACAGTAACTTATTATAAATGGCCGAGTGTAGTGTTGTGATTCAAACTCTTGATGAAGTCAGTGATTCTTGTAAACTGTTTTATTGAACTTTGTGAGTATCTTGTTCACTCTGTCTGTATTTGATACCAGAAGATGTAAGCACACACAGTCATCAGTCTAGTTTCTGGTTTCTAAATAGCTTTTTATATAGCCAACAAAAACGGTCCCTTTGATTAAAAAAACTTGATCTTGACTGCAGAACTGCAGTGCTGTACATAAATTGTTTTGAGTGTATGACGTTCTTTGTATTCCTGACCTGAAAATATCATTCTTTATTATAATTAGTATTCACAATGTTTTTCCCATACACCCAGATACAAATGCACCGTGGGTGTGTGACACCACAGATGCTTCCATATTCATCATCTATTGGTTACACAGACAGAGCAGAACATACAGTTGAAGTCGGAAGTTTACAGACACTTAGGTTGGTCATTAAAACTCGTTTTTCAACCACTCCAAACAAATTTCCTGTTAACAAACTATAGTTTTGGCAAGTCGGTTAGTACATCTACTTTATGCATGACACAAGTCATTTTTCCAACAATTGTTTACAGACAGATTATTTCACTTATAATTCACTGTATTACAATTCCAGTGGGTCAGAAGTTTCCATACACTAAGTTGACTGTGCCTTTAAACAGCTTGGAAAATTCCAGAAAAAGATGTCATGGCTTTAGAAGCTTTGGCTAATTGACATAATTTGAGTCAATTGGAGGTGTACCTGTGGATGTATTTCAAGGCCTACCTTCAAACTCAGTGCCTCTTTGCTTGACATCATGGGAAAATCTAAAGAAATCAGCCAAGACCTCAGAAGAAAAACTGTAGACCTCCACAAGTCTGGTTCATCCTTGGGAGCGAAAAGTGCAAATCAATCCCAGAATAACAGCAAAGGACCTTGTGAAGATGCTGGAGGAAACAGATACAAAAGTATCTATATCCACAGTAAAACAAGTCCTATATCGACATTACCTGAAAGGCCGATCAGCAAGGAAGAAGCCACTGCTCCAAAACCGCCATAAAAAAGCCAGACTACGGTTTGCAACTGCACATGGGGACAAAGATCATACTTTTTGGAGAAATGTCCTCTGGTCTGATGAAAAAAAAATAGAACTGTTTGGCCATAATGACCATTGTTATGTTTGGAGGAAAAAGGGGGTTGCTTGCAAGTCGAAGAACACCATCCCAACCGTGAAGCACGGGGATGCCAGCATCATGCTGTGGGGGTGCTTTGCTGCAGGAGGGACTGGTGCACTTCACAAAATAGATGAAGGAAATAGATGAAGGAAAAATATGTGGATATGCTGAAGCAACATCTCAAGACATCAGTCAGGAAGTTCAAGCTTGGTCGCAAATGGGTCTTCCAAATAGACAATGACCCCAAGCATACTTCCAAAGTTGTGGCAAAATGGCTTAAGGACAACAAAGTCAAGGTATTGGAGTGGCCATTACAAAGCCCTGACCTCAATCCTATAAAAAATGTGTGGGCAGAACTGAAAAAGCATATGCCAGCAAGGAGGCCTACAAACCTGACTCAGTTACACCAGCTCTGTCAGGAGGAATGGGCCAAAATTCACCCAACTTATTGTGGGAAGCTTGTGGAAAGCTACCTGAAACGTTTGACCCAAGTTAAACAATTTAAAGGCAATGCTACCAAATACTAACTGACCCACTGGGAATGTGATGAAATAAATAAAAGCTGAAATAAATAATTCTCTCTACTATTATTCTGACATTTCACATTCTTAAAATAAAGTGGTGATCCTAACTGACCTAAGACAGGGAATTTTTACTAGGATTAAATGTCAGGAATTGTGAAAAAATGAGTTTAAATGTATTTGGCTAAGGTGTATGTAAACTTCCGACTTCAACTGTACATCAATAGCATATATCTCTACATATCATTCCCTTATAACCTTCTTTACAGTGTTATACAATGATGACGATAGCAAAGACGCGTCTGGCATATGCCTGAGTCTGTGTTAGTGGCGATAAGGAGAGATGAATGTTGTGTTTATTATCCCCATAACAGAATTATCTGTCTTAAGAAGACTAAGCAGAACCAGCTCTGTTTCCGCTCCTGGAGGACTCTGCTGTGTATACTCCTGCACTCCCACTGCTCTGAGGAGGTGGTATTTTCTTTCTCACACCACCGCACATCCGCTCCTCTATTTGATGTGTCACAGAGAGAGAGAGAGAGAGAGAGAGAGAGAGAGAGAGAGAGAGAGAGAGAGAGAGAGAGAGATAGACACACGTATTCTAATTTCTACTGACAATCTATGTCTTCTGACGTTCTATCAAGACATGATTAGGGGTAACATTCAACTGACCATCAATCAACATTCCATTTCCATTCCATTTGCAACAGACAGTCAACAGGATTTGCATTGATTGTTGCCATCTTATGCAGGACTGTGACATCTATGTCGTTCACCTCTCAGATTCTGAATCAAAAAGCCCAATTTACATCATGATTAAAATAACAGTTCTGTGCACTTTTTTAAAAAACACCATAAATTGGGGATATTGTCTGAATCTTTCTCCTTCTCTTGACATCTGAGATCAAACTGCATTGTGGGCTGCTGTCGCTGTTGCGTCCCAGATAGGATGACAGGTATCTGTGCCATTCATGCTAGTAATTGTCTTAAATTTTCCTAGACTCTAGACATCACAGTGGCTCAGTCACACTCAATCAGAGCCTTAGCGGCTACAGCCCTGTCTACAGCTCCATCTGCGCCTCTGTCTGTTTCTCTGAGCCTCTGTCTGTTTGTCTCTGAGGGAGCAGGACGAAGAATACTCTGCCTTATTCAACTCACTGTTGTCATTATCATTCAATCGCAGGACCAGTTTCCCACACCCAGATTAAGCCTGAAATTTTCATGCTTTTCAGTCCAGGAATAGGCTTAATCTGGGTCCTGGAAACTATTGAGCTGCCTGGCTTGTATTACAGTATCAGCAGTCATGCTTATAAAATTCTAGTAAACATACAGTATGAGTATATTTTGCGCAGGGTGACATCATAACAGTTAGTCGTTAGCCCTGACACGAGCTCACAGCACATCAGCGTTAGCCATGGCCAGTGCTACGCTAATGCTAGCCCCTTTGTCCTCACATCACTGCAGCCCAGAGCTAACGCTAACTAGACCTTTCTCCTCACATCACTGCCGCCCAGAGCTAACGCTAACTAGACCTTTCTCCTCACATCACTGCAGCCCAGAGCTAAAGCTAACTAGACCGTTCTCCTCACATCACTGCAGCCCAGAGCTAACGCTAACTAGACCTTTCTCCTCACATCACTGCAGCCCATCACTAATGCTAGCTTGCCCTTTTTAGTCACATCACTGCAGCCCAGTACTAACGCTAGCTAGCCCGTGCCTCACATTTCTTTCTGCAAACTAAAGCTAGTCGCTAGCCCCTTACTCCTCACATCACTGTCAACCCACTCTCCACTTACTCTGTGTATCCTCCTGCTAATCTCACTTTATTCTGTTTGCCAAAAATATGAGTTCTGAGTCTGCCTGCTGTCAACAGTCATTACTGTCTTCCATGGGTTCTCTGGGTGCAGATATATTGGACAGAATCAGAGTTGTAGTTGGAGGATCCTGATTTTCATTTTGATGGCCTTGTTTCACACGCTTGCAAGGAAATTTAGATATTCCTTGAGGAGTAGAGGAATATTCTGTATTTCTGTGTGTATTCGCTCTACCTCTAACCTCTCTCTCTCTCATTCTCTAACCTCTCTCTCTCTCTCTCTGAATTTGCTCTTCTCCCTGTCCAGTCAAACACGTTCAAATGTGTCCATCCAGTAGCAAAGTGGGAACAATGCATAATTCAACCCCAGCAAATGAACCAGCAGTCAACTGTACAGAACAGCATACATATGCACTGCAGAAGAGATGGCAAAGTGGTAAACGAGTTTAGTTTTTAGACAGAGTGCTAGGTTGTAAACTGGGAACCATGCTAAGACATGTTTATGTATAAGGAGCCAGTCACGATGCGATTCACTGGCCCAAGACCTCATTTCCAACCATCTCTGAGACAATCTGTCAGCTCCATTTGAGTTAACATGGGTGAGAGAAAGAGAGAGAGAGAGAGAGAGAGAGAGAGAGAGAGAGAGAGAGA